GAGTTCAATCGTCATAAACAGAAAGCGATTACGTATCGAGCGAGGCAGCTCGTTAAGAAAGGATCTTGACGCGCTAATTATTTATAGCTCGTGATTTTCATAATGAAATGCAAGCGTCCGTCGGTCTTCGGCATTATTTTTTTATTATTTATTTTTTTTTTTCTTTCTTTCTAAATCCTTTATGACATAGCCCTTCATACACATCAGCAGACTTTGACATCGAAACCCAAAGGCGCCTCTTGTGCTTAAGCACGTCTCATGCTCCCCTTGCTCAAAGCCCAAGTAATTTCGATGGTAGAAAATCGAAGGAAATGGTCGAGACGGGTATTATCGGGCAGCCCAATATCTCGAGCATGTGCTAGTCTCGTTCGCAGCAGGTGGATTTAATCGTGAATCATCGTCATACCGTTGTAACATATAGCGGCCATGATAAGTCCGGCGCGCTCTCTTTTTGCACCAAAACCCGGGTTAGTTCCTTGTCTTCGCGATGCCGCTGCCACCACCGTCGCCGCCGCCTCTGTTGCTGCTGGTAGTGCTGCTGGTAGTGCTGATGGTGGTGGTGGTGGTGGTGGTGGTGGTGGTGATGGTGGTAGTTGTGTTGATTGTGGTGGTGCCGGTGGTGCCGTCGCTGTTGACGGTGGCGTTGGTAGCCGCTGTTTTTGCGCGGCTACTTGGGAGGTGGATGAGGGGTAAGGAACGGGTGGGCGGGGTGCAGGCCTCGGCCCTTCGACCTCAACGTCTCTTCACGAGCTTCTGTGAGTTGACGATGATCTCTTTGTTCCACGTGTAGCGATATGCGAACTGCATGCTATTATATAACATTAGCACGCTCCAACATGGAGACGCTGGCTGTGGCCTGGTGCCGCTGCTGCTGACGTTGTCGTCGAGGCTCTCAGGCCCGCCGCTCGGGATGGGACTGCTGCTATCGGCGGGGAGCCGGGGCGCGACTTCTCCCGACGCTGCCAGTATCACAGGATCAATCGAGACCGTCGAACACTCGACTTGACGTGTACACGTACACGTGTTCCCTACTTAGGGGGTTGGAGACGAAGGGTGGTAGAATGAGGAAGGAAGTGGAGATAGAGCAGGGCGATGCGACGTAACGTGGGGAATTGAGTTTACGAGAAAGCGAAGCGCAGCTAAACAACGCGATGTGACGCGGTGTTGAGCGAGGGCTCGAGAGGTTGGAGTGCGCGAGAGTCCGTTGGCGGGAGCGTCCGGGGAGCGACTGAAATGCCGGCGACGAGGCAGTCGCGGCCGAGAGCAGCTTATCTTCGGGTCTACCTCCTACTCCAGCGCCGCGTGCTATCTCTTCGTCACTCCCTGGATAGAGGTTAACCAGTTTGTCCCACTCTCCTCCTCCTCCTCCTCCTTCTTCTACTTTTTTCCTCATCCCTCTTCATCTCTTTCAACCGAATCGACGTCGTCTTCTCGAGTGCGAGGCGTGTCGAAGGTGCAGCGACTTCTTCTCAAGCGGCATCTTATCGGCGGAAGATTCGTACGCGCGTGCCTCGCTCCTCGCTCCTCCGTGGGATTTAATTGGTCGTTAGTAAGGGTGGAGAACGCATGCTTGAACCGCGGGCTTTGTACGCGAGCCTCGGAGAGGTGGGTATTTGGACATCCGCGGGTGGTCGGTCACCGTCGTATTTGGTCCAGAGCGAAAGGTCAAGAGCTAGATAAGAGCCCCACCGCTTGCGCAAGACTTTGTTTTCGTATATCCGTGCAATTTTCGGATTAACAGCTCCAATTGATGAGACTCCGTTGAATCGAAGGTGGGAGAGCTTGGGAAAACATGCGACTCTTTCTTTCTTCTTATTGCACTTGTCCCCCGTCCCTCTGCCAGTCGTGTACCAAATTCCGTTGACTCGAACCATTGATAAATATATTATTATAATGGGCCATTATTGCGAAAATCCTTACATATTTGCACTTGGTTGTGAATTTTCTGTATGAAACCGAGCCTGCTCGATAAGATATGGAGAAGAAGAACAGAACTCCTTGGAAAGGATGGTAAAAATAAAAAAATCTTTTGGCCTTTTGTATTAACAAGGGGAACCTGTTGTCCACTCTCCTCTTATACTTTTTATTCTTCATTCGACCAATTTCATCAATTTGCAAATTATGACTCATTTATTCGAGTTCGACTAGTACAGCATAGTATGCTATAACAGCTGCATAGACTAGCGCCTATGTCTTAAGGATTCTCTAAAAATATGAAAATACAATAATCTTGGACTTTCGGAGTGTTGATGTGCTTAGTTACATAAGCCAGATAAATTTTCATAAATATACATGTCGCGTAAGTGATTTTGATTTCCATTGGGAAATTTGCTGATAATCGATATGTTTAAGCATTAGCTGTGTAAGACTTCACAAAGAGAGTTGCTCAACTTTGCTTCTAAATTTTTTTAACCATTTATAATTTATGAAATGGCGTATTTTTATCAACGAGTTTAATTCGTGTCAATTCTATTAATAAGAACACCATTGATCGAATGAAAAAGAGATGTAAAAAAAAAAGTATAAATACAAAGCTTTTCTCGTATATGGTAATAACTATAAATTGCAATAAATAACAAATCGTATGATTTAAATAAATAAATAATTCCGCAAGGTAAACAAGTTTGTATATCATAATAAATGCACATACACGAGGCTAATCGCTAAAGTAACTTTTGCTCAGTCCTTGCTCTTACTGTCACGGTATTGCATTACTATGGTGGGAAGTCTATCATTTACAATATACCCTGAACTTGTTAGAAAATACATTTTACTTTCAATTAGCAAATATCTTTGTAAATAGTACATCCATTAGCTCCGATACGGTCTGATAAATGTGTAACTTAGTATTTGATACGAGGTGCGAGGTTATGTATTACCTACTAAGATAATTGGATATGTGCATTATTATTTACTAGTCATTATAAAATAACTTTTGTTCTATGTCAGATTCTATGCTTTTATAAATTCTACCATGAGAATCTCAAGTATATTAGATACTATGATTTAATCGTAATTGAAGTATGTAAATTAAATGTAAATTATGTCCGATTCTGCAAATAATCATTTTCTAATAAAAAGATAATTTCAAAAATTATCAGCCTGAAAAATAAAATATCCAAAATCTCACCAAACTTTATACAGAGCTGAAGTACTTTTCAAAATTCTTACACTTTTATTTATGTTAATTTCTAAAGCCTGTTCTAATTTTCAAATCAAACATAAAAATTAATTATTAGAAATGAAAATCCACGAAGATCGCTCTTAAATATATTTTCTTCAAGAATTCACAATTTTAATACATATAATTAGAATGTGTAGTCCAAAAAAAATTCATCTCTTTAATCTTAGTTGTAGTATCTCAAAATAAAATTTGTTACTTTAACAAGTAAAACGATAAAACCTACCTTCTTTAATCCAGTTCTTTAACTCTAACTCTTCTAAAAATTTTGAAGCGACTTGTGCACGTGTAAGTTGTTCCTCGAAGAGCACGGCGACTTCGCCAATACCCTCGAGTACCGCAGGTTTTTCGTCGAAACAGAGCCATTCTTCGTCAATGTCAAGCGGCGGAGTCCCACTAGGGGATACAGGCTCCACCTTCCACATCGTTGTTGTGTCTTGGTCGGCTGACATGTTCGTTTACTGATATCCAATTCAGGTGCGTTGAAATTCTATTTGAATAGTTGGTCGACGAAGCGACGTAGCTGGTATAGGGTGCCATGATGGCCCTAGGATATTAAACGTAAAGTTATTAGACAATTAGTACACAGAGAAATTTCGAAAATAATAGTAGAGAACTAAAATTGTTTATCTATTAAATTACTGTTCAACATGTGGTTCTCAATACAAATGAAATAAACATATTGTCGAGTTTAAATATTTTAACAGCCACTCTGATCTCGATAGACATAATTGCAAAGTTACAATTTGGTCATGGGAGAATTGTACGTTTGTTATATTGATAAAATTTCAACGACTGCTGCAATTTATATTGCAATCATGCATTGACAATTTTTTTGAGCTTTTATTATTAAATTTGTGTACGTAAATAATACTTTACATTATATTAATAAGTATTTTTTTATCGCTACTTCTCCGTATTAATTATATAATCATATTATCAAATTACCAATGAATTCTTAACTAATATTAAATGAAGAAAATAATTGCTATTGGCAGGGGTTGCCGGAGATAGGCGATCGAGCTTACTTTATTTGCATATTTCTTGAAAAGGAAAACCTCGGACTTCCTCTAATTAAGATCGTCAACATTATTTCTAGTAAGGGATTATTCGCAATTTTAAGAAAAATAAAAAAAATGCTTGCATTATTCTTGTGAAACATAATGACGCAATAGCTGCTAATGACGCCATAATCAGCTACAAAATGTCCCCGAGTGGTCGAAAAGCAGGTCGACACGCTTTCTCCGTTAATGAGACAAAGTAGGATCTTGCGAGGGGAACGTTATTTTATAAGATTCTTCCTATTTTCTCATTATAAATACGGATCATAAGCGACGAGGGGAGCATTGGTGCGCGCGTGTGTAGTGGGTGGGTTGGTAAGGTAAGAGATGGTGGATGGGGGGTGGGGGGTGGGGGGGGGGGGGACGGGGAGGGGGAG